CAATTTTGGATCCTTTTTTCACTTGAAATACAGGAATAGTTCACCCAAATTCTCACATCATTCCAAACCCATATGACTTTCTTTATTTTGAAAAATATATAAATATATAAAATATATAAATATATATACCCTGGTCAGTCCTTTCCATATTATGAAAGTTCTCCAAAATAACAAAAAGCATCAATGAATATGGCAGATTTGAATGTTGTGTCAGGGTTGAAGTCAATGACATCAAACAGCATTGCTTCTCAGTTATCTTGTGACCGATCAACACAATTTTTGCCCATTACTCCAATTTTGCCCAACACCTTAACTTGCATTCTTTCATCAGATTATTGAAGTGTGCATGTGTGATATGTATCAGGAATGCATACTTCCTGCAAATTTAAGCACATCCAACCAGAGTGAGTAAGTGTTTCTGGTTGTATATATCGTAAATATATTATATACGCCATTCTCTTTTTTTAACCCAAGTAATATGTGTCCTCATCTTGTGCAGCTGAAGGAGAAGTGGTACAGTCGTAGAAACTGTAAACATGAGAGGAGAATCTGAGTTTCCCGCTAACATTTTGGAATACTCACATACTAAATAGAATACTATGAGTGGAATGCACGAATGCTTATGTTTTGATGTCACTAACATGAACGTGATTTTTTTTTTTTAAGTCTTGTAAATGTTTTTTTTGCATTGCCGGGTCATTGGTTTGCACGTAAACTAGTGAAACGGGTTATTTCAATAAACAGATTTTTGGTAGTTCTAAGCATATTGGTGTGCATGCAAAGGTGCAGATTGATAGGAAAGCCTGCACAATACGAGACATCAAAGGTGCAATATTTGAGAATGAAGAGTGATATTTAGTTACATTTTTGATCTGTTTGTCACTAAGAGTTATTGTATGGCTTCAGAAGACTTGGAAAATATTGCATGAATCATATGGGACACTTTTATGGTGCTCTTTTTTTGTCATTTTGGAGATTCAGCACTGGTACCCATTCATTTTTATTGAATGTAAAAGAACAGCCAGGATATTCTACAAAATATCTATTTTTGTGTTCCATGGAAGAAAGAAGGCTATGAGTTTGGAATGACATGGGGGTGAATAAATACAAAAAAAAAAAGTATAATTTTTGTGTAAACTCTCGGATAGCTGGACAATCAGAGCACACCTCGCTTTTTCAGACCGATGAGCTTTGTAAAAATCGACACGTTTCAGAAAGGCGGGGCATAGAGGAGAAACAATAATGTACAGTATGTGGAAAATAATGTGTTTTTTGAACCTTAAACCGCATAAACACATTTCATTACACCAAATACACAAAATAATGTTTTTTTTAGCAGCATCATATGACCCCTTTAAGATTCTGTACTATTGTAACCATATTAATGCCCTTGTGCTACAGGTCAGATTTTCTCTCTTCCTCTGAAGCAGAAGGTGCTCTTTCAAAACATGCTGGACAACATAGATCATAAGACTTGTGAAGTTTATTCCATCGTGAGTGCATGCCTTCAAAAAAGTGAAAACAAATAAAAAATAAATGAAATCGAATATGCAGTAGCAGAAGTCATATGGACTTTTTTCGGTGCTACATTTATTTATTTATTTGTTATTCTTTAAATTTTTTGTATTTTATTTCATGTGAAATTTGTTTCATTTTAATTGAAATTGTTATGAAATATAAATCGCAGCATTTTCACTATTGGTCTTAAATGTAACGTATTTTGGTGGATATACTCGGTGTATTTTTGCGTCTGCGTATGCCTTGTGCACATCTACGTATTTTCCTGATAATAATGTGTATTAGGGATTGTGTAAAGCTGCTGTGGAGCGTTTTCCAAATGAGGCAGATGGTGTGTGTGTGTGTGTAGGTTTAGGGGTTTGAAGGGCTTCAGTTTTACATGAGTCAGCGATCAGACTGACCCATTTCCTCCGCAGGACACATGTGGAAACACACATACATTTGGGGTTTGTACGTGCCACCGTTCCCCGTTTCCTACATCATCATGATTCTTTGCAGGAAGTGACACGTGTGGTCTTTTCTCTCTCAGTGCTGTAAAAGTGAAGGAAGCCTCAGAGAGCAGTAGAGGAATTAAATATGGATAGGACACGGGGGAGGCAGCACGGATGAGGGGGTCTGCAACCACTCTCTCTCTTAATGATGTGATGTGATGTGACAAGCATGGTGCTCGTGGGGGCAGAGTTACCATAGCGATTCCCAACACGCCCCCCATCTGTGGCAATCTCCCATGCACAGCATCCATATTTAATGCAACTTTTACTTAGAGCAGTTCAACTGCCCACCCAACTCTTTCTCCCTCTCCCTCTCTCTCTCTCTCTCTCTCTCTCTCTCATTATCTTCGTTATATTTGCAGAAGTAAGATACATTATACATTTATGGGCTGAATGTTATAATTATTGAGTTTACGGTAAAGTTTTCCAGCCTGCTGGGGAGAGAGGCCTTTAGGAGCTGTCTCAAATTATCATATATTCCATGCTGTTTTTATACTTAAAGTTTTACAGTTATAATCTGAACTCTGTATAACTTTTAAATGATTTTTCTTCCCACGTTTGCTATAACCAGGACAGTTGTTATCGGTTTTTGTTCGTCCTACTGTCAGCTTTTCCTTTTTTGAACTTTCCCCTCATAAAACTTTTTCGCTAACTCAGCTGACAGCTGTAAAGTGTGTGTAATGGCAGATTGTTGTAACGTTTATCACGCAGCAGGGCTGTAGAACGAACACGATGAAGACAGTCTTTAATAAATCCACAGGCAAGTAATCCACATAAAGAAAACAGCTATAACACAACTAACGCAGACAAGAACCCACCACAATGAACAGAAACAGAGCAACTTAAGTACATGTGCAAACAAGGATAATTAATGACACACACCTGAACTAAAGGTTTGCAAAATCAAACCAATAACCATGACAGCCAACACAGCAGGCAAAATGTGCAAACTGAATCATAGTCCAAAGTGATATTGTGACAGTTTATCGCAATGTTTAGTACTAATACAATAACCGACAATATTCTGAAGTAAATTAAATGATTAGATGAAAATAATTTATTCATGCCATTCCAAACACATACAGTACCGTTAAAAGGTTTGGGTTCAGTAAGATTTTTTAATGTTTTTGGAAGAAGTCTCATTTGCTCACCAAGGCTGCATTAATACTGTGAAATTCTACTGCAATATATTGTTTCATATGGTAATATATTTTAAAATGTTATGTATTCCTGTGATGCAAAGCTGAATTTTCAGCAGCCAGTACTTCAGCCAGTACTTAGTATCAGTCTAATACTGATTTGTGTCTTTAAGAAACCTTTTTTCTCTCTTATTATTATTATCAGCATTGAAAAGAGCTGTTCTGCTTAATATTTTTGTGGATACTGTAAGACTTTTTTTTTCAGGATTCTCTGCTGAACAGAAAGTTCAAAATAACTTTTATGTAATCTATTGTATAAATGTATTTACTGTCACTTTTGATCAATTTAATGCATTTTTGCTGAATAAAAGTATTATTGCTTTCAAAAACATTTATTGACCCCAAACTTTTGAATGGTGGTTTTCTTTTCTTTTTTCTGGTAAAACAGAGGAGATGTTCTGCAGAACTATAAAATTAATCCACACATAGTTTTGCATTATACTTAAAATATTCTGAAGCCGTACGATAGTTTTCTGTGAATAAGAGAGAGATTATTTGAAAATCTAACACCATCTGCTGTAGGTGTTAGTGTCATTTACATTGTTGTATAATATGCATAAAAATACAATTACCCTGCCTCATTGTTTCGACGTAGTTAGCTGATTATTATTAGTTATTTTGTTTATTCCATGGAAAGGCCTTATATGGGCAATGATGTAACTGTTGCACATGTATTTTATTTGTGTGAATATAATATTTGTATGATGTTCATAGTATTCACTCAGTAGTACTGTGAGTGTAAGGCTGGAGAGCATTGCAGAGTTATTTGTGTTTGCAGGAGTGGCTGTACAAGGCTGATTTTGAGATGATGTATTTATGCTCAAAGCAGAGAAGAAAACACGTATTAGAGCAACTTTATAAGTAGTATGCAGGAAGTCTGTTGTGTGGATGAAAAGTGATGCAGTCGAGAGGAGTGGAGCTCGCCAAATGCAGGGGAGAACTCATAAAACAGGCCTTTTTAAAGGGGGCATTCCCATTTGGGGAGGTCACTAATTTATCTTTAAATATCCTTGACGATGACAGTGACATCAAACGCTGTTTCATGACCACCTGAAGAGCCATCGCTGATATTGCCTGGATTTAAATTGTTTTTAATAGTTGTACTTTGACTTATATAGAGTATTTGAAGATAGAGTACTTATACTGCTAGCGAAACTAATTGTAATCAATAAATTGACTTCTATTTTTTGAACAAAGTCTGCCTCCCGGGGCATTGATTTAAGACTTTGAGCCAGAACAGACCACAGAGGAGTCTTCTGTCCGATTGGAAGTATGTAGAATAATACAAATAAAGGTGTTAAAGCAGTCTGCACCATAAAACAACATTTATACATTAAAAAATGAGACGCATGGTGCCAGTTTTTATGTCAGTCACAATTACAGCAAGAGTTTCAACAAGTTGTATGGCTTCAGAGGACTTTGAATATACATTATCACGGATCATATGGACTTCTTTTATGCTGCTTTATTTATGCATGTTTATTTGTTTCTTTTTTTACTTATGTTTTGGTGCTCAACTGTCCTCTGTTCAGTTTGGAACAACATTAGAATTTGTAATTGATTTATTTTGGGGTGAACTATTCCTTTAATGCAAGCTGGACTACTCTCTGTCTGTGAAGGCTCTATGTTAAATGATATGTTCATGAATTGATTGACCACTCAGTGATTTGTGATCCGATCCTCAGAGAAAGTCACATGGAGTACTAATTGATTAATGCAATCAATTCATGTTGTGCTGCGGCCTACACACGTGACTGACAGATATGTTTGCTTGTTTACATGTTTACTTTAGGTTATGAGTGCACTTACAGCTTGGTGATCCACAGATAAGCCAATGAGAGGATGGCCAGAGGTCACATGATCTACAGAAGCACCTACCAGCTGGTATTACTGATTCTACTGAGCGTGCTCCAGCTGGCACATGCGCAAAGTGAGTACACAGACGTCAAACATGCATAAAACACAGGCAGAATCCTCTGAGACGCAGAATAATTGCTGGCTCTTTTCGTGAAACCAGCACAGGATAAAGGATAAAGGCATACTTTAATGCAGCTTACAATGTAGTATGTAATTAAAAAATACGATTTGGAGTTGGAGGGATTATAATGCTGCGTTTGTTTCTTTCACTGCACCAAATATCCGGATCAGTGTTTACAAGACAACTCTGACTACGTAAAGAAATGACGTCAACATTTAATACATGGATTTGTATCTTTCATTTGATGCACGGTAAAGCATTACCGTGCATCTACATCTAGTAGAAGAGGAAAGAGGTTTAGTTGTTAAGAATTTAAATGTAGAAAAAAAAAATATTATAAAAAAAAAATATTTCAATTAATAATAATGTATTAAATAGATTTATTATTTATGAAATTATTTTATGATAATGATTATAATAATTTTATTGGTCTCTATTTGGTCTTTGTAATTGTATTTTATAAAAATGTAAGAGTAATTGCACTCAAAGGCTTTCTTGTGTAAACATTATCTGCGCCTATTTAGATTAAAGCATGCAAAGTGAAGATGAAGTCATTTCATCGCACATCATCTGTTTCTTTCACTGCACCAAATATCCGGATCAGTGTTTACAAGACAACTCTGACTACGTAAAGAAATGACGTCAACATTTAATACATGGATTTGTATCTTTCATTTGATGCACGGTAAAGCATTACCGTGCATCTACATCTAGTAGAAGAGGAAAGAGGTTTAGTTGTTAAGAATTTAAATGTAGAAAAAAAAAATATTATAAAAAAAAAATATTTCAATTAATAATAATGTATTAAATAGGTTTATTATTTATGAAATTATTTTATGATAATGATTATAATAATTTTATTGGTCTCTATTTGGTCTTTGTAATTGTATTTTATAAAAATGTAAGAGTAATTGCTCTCAAAGGCTTTCTTGTGTAAACATTATCTGCGCCTATTTAGATTAAAGCATGCAAAGTGAAGATGAAGTCATTTCATCGCACATCATCTGGGGTGATGACACGAACATTCACCCACGCACTCACTTCATTGTGCTGTTTGAACCTGAGCTGAGCCTTTGGTTAGTTGCACATGCCATTAGTTTGGAGCTGCTGGGCAGATTAATGTGAAATCATCCTTAGATCGAGTGGATTAGCAACCACTGCAGACTGCATCAATCACAAGTTAATTCACTCCGTCTTTCGTATTAACTGAAATGCACATTATAATGCACACATGAAGTCACAGCCTGACTTTCAAAAAAGTTTTATGATTTTAAAGACAGGTTTATTGTCATTTTTAACAAGGGATGAAAATGTGGTACTTATTTTAAGACATGCCTTTCTTTTAAAGGGGTGTTCACACATGATTTGTTATTGCTTTGAAAAATACAGGAGGAAAGGGTGAAAGGAATGGAATGGCATAGAATGCAAGGGTCTCGAGATGTGTTTGTAAAAGCTGAATTGGTTTTAACTTGACATTGCATCTTAAAAAGCACAGCACTTATGGCACAAGATGTTAAGTTACAGACCGTATCATTTGCCCTCCTGCCAGTGATTGGTTTATTGAGAAAATAAATGTTTCTTGCCATGATTTTTGCTGGTATCATAAACAAAATCAAATGTAGTATTTAGTACTGCATGTAATATTGCAGTTAAAGTTTTAGTTCCTTAAACTTTATGGGCTAATTGGCAAGTACTTTTTATTTTATTTTATTTAAAAAAATATTAAGTGCTAAATGCAGATAAAAAATGTCTTGCCAATTGGCCCATAAAGCTTTAGGAAATGCATTACTTAGTACTTCATTTTATTTCGTTTTTTTTTTATTTTTAAATTTTAGAATTTTAATTTTGGCCACAGCATGAAAATAATTATCAGCTTAACTGTCATGATGTATGTGAAGTAAACCCTGTTCATTTTAAACCCTGCCTGTAACCTTTCAGTTAAACTACTCTATGTGAGAAGTATAACTTCAAGATGCATAGATGCATTTATTGTATGGAGATTCTAAATAGTAAAGGAGAGTTTCTCCATCTTCAAGGAAATTCTGCCCCAATGCTTTCATTGACCCAGTCGTAGTTAATTATTGGTCACCTCTAATGGTTAGAGAGTTGGACTTGTAACCCGAAGGTTGCGGGTTCGAGTCTAAGGTCCGGCAGGACTTGTCAGTGGGGGGAGTGAATAAGCAGCGCTCTCTTCCACCTTCAATACCACGACTGAGGTAAGACCCTTGAGCAAGGCATCTAATCCCCAACTGCTCCCCGGGTGCCGCAGCAATATGCTCACGGTGTGTGTGTTCACTACTGTGTGTGTGCACTTGGATGGGTTAAATGCAGAGCACAAATTCCGAGTATGGGTCACCATACTCGACCACACGTCACTTCATTTTTACAAACCTCTGTCTTCCTCTGCAGCTCCTCCTCAGTTCACTCGGACCCCCGTTGATCAGATAGGTGTTCAGGGGGGCGTGGCCTCCTTCGTATGTCAAACCACAGGAGATCCGCAGCCTAGAATCACGTGGAGCAGAAAAGGCAAAAAAGTCACCAACCAGAGATTCGAGGTAAACACATCTCAATTGCACAAACACAGACCGTGCAGACAGCTTGCTTACACATTAGCTGCAAGCAGCGATACAAGGTTGTAACACTACTAAAGTGAGATTTCCACAGTACATTTCCTGTAACTTCACACATTTGCCCTGGCTCAAAGGATGCCATACACATGGTCGATAAAGACACACAAGTTATTCAGGGAGTTACCAACACATTTCTCTGTGTGTGTGTGTGTGTGTGTAGGTGATAGAGTTTGAGGATGGTTCAGGGTCCGTGTTGCGAGTGCAGCCGCTGCGGACCCCCCGTGATGAGGCTGTGTATGAATGTGTGGCATCTAATGAAGCAGGAGAGATCAGTGCCTCCACACGGCTCAGCGTTCTCCGCGGTAGGTACAGACCTGACTGGAAGCGTCTTTGCTTTTGCTTGGTCTTCTGAAGTGTATGTGTGTGAAGCTTGCTTGATACACGACATCTCTACTATTATTTTTAGAGATGCACTGACAGAATTTCTGGGAAATACCAATTAGAAGATAATTGTTTTCATGCAGTGACCAATAAGCAATATAATGGTGAATATAACAAGTCTAGGCCCGCGCTGAATCTCTGAATATACAGAGTTTTAATCATTTTCTGTGTTGATTTTGGGGTAATTTTGTGGATATTATGTATAAATTTTTTTTTGGTCACACTTTATTTTAAGGTCCAATTCTGCTATTAACAAACCATTAACTATGACTTTCGTCTCAATAAACTGCTAATTTGCTTATTAATAGTTAGTAAGGTAGTTGTTAAGTTTAGGTATTGGGTAGGATTAGGGATGTAAAATATGGTCATGCAGTGTTGCTGCCTTTATAAGTACTAATAAACAGCCAATATGTTAATAATAGGCATGCTAATAACTTGTTAATAGTGAGAATTGGTCCCTATACTAAAGTGTTACCTTTTTTTTTTTTACTTTTTAATGCCAAAGACCCCAAAATATGATGATCACCTAACCCCATTCCTAAAATATAATGATAGCTGTATAATTAAAAATATTAAGCATGTTTTAAATGCATATTACTTTCTAACAACTGACTTTTATGTTCTCAGTGTACTGTTTTTAAATTTTTTTTTTTTTTTACATATTTTAAAATATTATTTTAAATATTATATGAAGAATATTTACTTTGTAATAAATTGATCATATTTTATATATTTTTTTATTTTTAATCATTTAAATTTTAATATTTTGGTCCCTATACTAAAGTGTTACCTTTTTTTTTTTTACTTTTTAATGCCAAAGACCCCAAAATATGATGATCACCTAACCCCATTCCTAAAATATAATGATAGCTGTATAATTAAAAATATTAAGCATGTTTTAAATGCATATTACTTTCTAACAACTGACTTTTATGTTCTCAGTGTACTGTTTTAAAATTTTTTTTTTTTTTTACATATTTTAAAATATTATTTTAAATATTATATGAAGAATATTTACTTTGTAATAAATTGATCATATTTTATATATTTTTTTATTTTTAATCATTTAAATTTTAATATTTTTTGATTTCTTACCGTTTAAAACAAAACCTGTCTATAGGATAAGATAACTGTCATGTATTTCATTTCAGAAAACAAAATGTAACAGTAATAACATTACATGGTTAATAAAGTGTGTTAATAATTAAATTTATATATATCCTAATATATTAATATCTTAAATTGAAATAATACCTTTGATAAAACTACAAATATAATTTTTTTATTAATATTTTTTTTGTGTGTGTGTGTGTGTAAAATTAAAAATGGTCTCAGATATATTGTGCACCCCTTGTTATTTTGTATAGCTTATGGTCTATACCTGAACACACTGTTTGTCATCTTAAAGAATTTTCATTAATATCTTAAACTGAAATAATACATTTGACAAATATATATGTATATATATATATATATATATATATATATATATATATATATTTGTAACATTAAAAATAGTCTTAGATATACTGTGCATCCCTTGTTATTTTTTATTATTATTTTTAATAGTACCTTTAGGCACTACAAGAATAGATCCTTAACAAATGAAGACTGAAAAAAGTGTGCTATTTTGCATAATATCTGCATAAGATCACCTTCACCTTGTAAAGATTGAAGCCCTCCATTGAAGGCTGAGGTGTGAGTGTAATGTGTGTTTGTGTTTGTGTTTGTTTATTTCAGAGGACCAGCTAATTTTTTTTTTTTTTTTACATATTTTAAAATATTATTTTAAATATTATATGAAGAATATTTACTTTGTAATAAATTGATCATATTTTATATATTTTTTTATTTTTAATCATTTAAATTTTAATATTTTTTTATTTCTTACCGTTTAAAACAAAACCTGTCTATAGGATAAGATAACTGTGATGTATTTCATAATTTCAGAAAACAAAATGTAACAGTAATAACATTACATGGTTAATAAAGTGTGTTAATAATTAAACCTTCACCTTGTAAAGATTGAAGCCCTCCATTGAAGGCTGAGGTGTGAGTGTAATGTGTGTTTGTGTTTGTGTTTGTTTATTTCAGAGGACCAGCTTCCCGCTGGCTTCCCGTCTATAGATATGGGCCCTCAGCTGAAGGTGGTGGAGCGTTCTCGCACCGCTACCATGCTGTGTGCAGCCAGCGGAACACCTGACCCTGAGATCACCTGGTTTAAAGATTTCCTCCCCATAGATACACACACTCACGGGCGGATCAAACAGCTACGCTCAGGTGTGTGTGCTCATTTACACACTCTCTGTGCTTTTATTCTCCTCATTTGTTTAAAGGTGCACTTAGCAAATTTAGCTCATTAAAAAAGTAGAAATAGTAAATTTTATATATACATTTTACATATGTGTTTTAAACAATGTACACTGACATGAGATGAATAGTCACATCAGTAGCTTAAAAAATGTTTTCGTTCTACATGGAGCATGTCGTGTTGAGATCACATGACCAGCTGAGTTTTGCTTATGCTTGCAACAAGCTTCTAATATTAATGATAATAATTACGTTACATTTACATTACATTTAATCATTTAGCAGACACTTTTATCCAAAGCGACTTACAAATGAGGACAATGGAAGCAATCAAAATCAACAAAAGAGCAATAATAAATAAATTAATAATAATAATAATATGATAATATGTTTACTTAATTTACATGATTCATTAGGGATGCACCAATATTGAAATTCATACCGTTATGGTAATAATTATTTTCATGTTGTAGTACCCAATATTCAAATGTTATACTATTTTGTTTGAATTTACAAATAATAACATTATAATATACACTGTTAAAATGGATATTCGTTTTGATTTGTTAGAGATTACATTGAACAGTGTTATTAAATTAAGTGCTTTTAAAGATTAACTTGAAGTGAGAGGTAGATGAAAGCAGAGGTAATATGAATGCTAAAAAATAAGCATTCATACATAAATATCTCATATAAACCAATACTGATATTGGATTGAATTAAAAAGAAAATCTAATAGCATAGGATAATTGATGTGGTATTGATGTACTGTACACTTTTGTTTGAAAAGTTTGGGGTCAGTAAGATTTTTTTTTTTAATGAAATTAATACCTTTATTCAGCAGGGATGCATTAAATTGATCAAAAGTGACAGAGACGTTTATATATATTACAAAACATTTTTATTTCAAATAAATGCCATTTCTTTGAACTTTCTATTCATCAAAGAATCCAGAAAAAAGTATTACCGTTTCTACAAAAATATTAAGCAACTCTAATATTTTTGTCTTTGATCATAATCAGAAATGTTTCTCAAGCAGCAAATCAGCATATTAGAATGATTTCTGAAGGATCATGTGACACTGAAGACTGGAGTAATGATGCTGAAAATTCAGATTCCATCACAGGAATAAATTAAATTTTAAAATGCATTAAAATAGAAAACAGTTATTTTAATATGTAATAAATTCATCAAAGAATCCAGAAAAAAGTATTACCGTTTCTACAAAAATATTAAGCAACTCTAATATTTTTGTCTTTGATCATAATCAGAAATGTTTCTCGAGCAGCAAATCAGCATATTAGAATGATTTCTGAAGGATCATGTGACACTGAAGACTGGAGGAATGATGCTGAAAATTCAGATTCCATCACAGGAATAAATTACATTTTAAAATGCATTAAAATAGAAAACAGTTATTTTAATATGTAATAGTATTTCACATTATTACTGTGTTTTTGAGCAGATGCAGTTTTGGTAAGCATGAGACACTTTCAGAAACATAAAAAACAACAACCCCAAACTTTTGAACATGTGTATATAGTTTATATTGTGCATTGCTATATACTGTACTTTAGACTTAAACATAATAATAAAAGTACAAAGTTGGAAAAATCAATTGTCCAAGCAAGCAATGAAACACACCATAACAGCCAACAATTCCAATGGCGCAAACGTACACACAAAACCTCTTAGAGTGCATCTTTAAAGAAATCCCGTAGCCTTAAATCCTTTCTCACACACACTGTTTTTGCTGTGCGAGAACCTTAAGTGATAAATGTGCTGTCTCTCTTTCTGTGTTTTAATCTACAGAGTCATTTGGTAAGTGTGTTACCCTGAGGCACAACACACACTCACACGTCCAAGCACAAAACAAAAAAACATTATTGGTAAAGCGCATGATATATCCACATATTGTATTTGCCCTAACAGTACAGTCACCCTCTCTCCACTCACATAGTCAGCACATACAGTAGTGTGTACACACACAGCAGTCACGTACAGTAGACAGTCCTCCTTACCTGAGCGCTGCCCCTCTAACATGTGGTACTGAGCCTCTCGCTCCCACTCTCACTTACGTTTTCTCCTTCACTGGCTCACTCTTTAACTTCTCCAAACGCTCACTGCCCTCGGCATTGGATTTCCTGCATCACTACCCCCTCACTACTCTTTCAGATCTCTCTCTTTCTCTTTCTCTCTTTCACTTTGTTGCCTAGATAGGTTTGAATGTCCCAATGCTGAATGTTACAGTGGCTTCTCACCCAAAACCGTGGCCTTTTTTGGCTTTCCTCTCTCTCTCTGGGCTTGAGTCTGCCTGTCTTAAGTCTCTGTGTTCTTTCCAATTTTTCAAAGATATTTTCTCTATTGCACTGGTTTTATGAGCTATTTTTTTTAGAAAACGGTGGTGTCATCCTGAGGTTGTGCTACAAATAATCGCTATCTGTCACTGACGGACTTGGTTGTAAATTTTCCTTCATGTTTTGTCGGTTGTATTCTCTCTGTTGGTATTTGGTATTTTAAATGTGGCACTGATACCCCAGCATCTTTAAGAGCTTTTATTAGTAGCTTTTTATTCCACTCTTCGGTCTTGTAATCTGGTCATCTAATTTAATAAACAACATATCATGAATTATTCAACTGCACTGCATTTGCAATCGGTTGTTTTGCTCTGAAACCATTCATTAGATTTCACAGGGGTGCTGTAAAACGTTTCCCCCTTTTTGCTTTGTTTCTAATTCTAATCCTTATTTGCCTTTTTTAATGCCACTGAATAAAAATAAAAAAAGTGATTTTGACTTTTATCTCACAATTCTGATTTTTTTCTTGCAATTGCGAGATATAAACTCGCATTGTAAGAAAATAGTCTTTTTTCCCTCAAAACTAAAATTGGACTTTATAACTCACAATCGTGAGTTTATATCTCCCAATTCTGAGAAAAGGAGTCAGAATTACGAGAAATAAACGCGCAATTGTTAAAAATAAAGTCAGAACTGCGAGTCTATATTTCTCGCATTTGTGAGAGTTTATATTATGCAGTTCTGAGAAAAAAGGCAGAATTGTGAGGTAAAAAGTTGCATTTACCTTTTTTATTTTTTATTCAGTGGCAGAAACGGGCTTCCATATCGTTTAGCGTGGGAATGGTTAAAAAGGGTTTCTGAAACGGGAATATGCAATAGACCAGATGAAATTAATTTAAAGCATTTTTGTTCATTTTTAACAGTTTTTGATTACATTTGAAAATATGTATTTTTTTAAATAATGTAAAAATCTGAAATTTTTTTAATCGTCAATATTTTAAAAACATGCTAAATTACGGAAAATTGTAAGTTCTTTTCGGTTAAGACAACCTCTTCTGTCATCTCATAAAAAGTCAACATACACTTTGCACTTAAGACATGAAGAGTCTCCCTCCTCCCCTCTTTCTCTTTCTTGCACTCTTTCTTTTTGCTGTTTCTATTTTTATCCCTCTATCTTTCTGTTTTCTTTCTTTTTGCTCTCTCTCTGTCACTCTGTCTTTTTGTCATTCTCCCTCGCTGCACTAACTCGTCTTCTCTTTAATCTCCCATCTGCTTTCATTCTCACACATCCAGGGGGTACACCTATCCGAGGTAAGAGACTAAAGCAACCCACCACATCTCTCCACACCTTATCGCTCTCTTTCTTTCTTCCTCTTCCCCTTCCCCTCTCTCTCTCTCTGTTTGACTAACCGTGTCATTTTCAGAGACTGTGTTTATCATGATTAATGTTTGGGTTCTGTCGCCATGATAAAACTACCACCCCTTTGCACAGATCTTATCTGAATGTGTTATTTTCATGGTAAATTAAAATCAAATAGACATTAATTATGTGAGCTGATAAAAATCAGTTGAAATATCTACTAAAAATGAAAGAGGATTTACTTTAGTGGTTTTTCAATATGTTTTTTTTTTTCAGTGGCAGATTTGTAAAGACCCCATGACACTAGACGGGTTTCCATCCAAAGTTGCGACTTTAACTTATGCGCAAAATTGGAATATCGCATAAAACATTTGCGAACAAAAGCACTGTTTCCATCCAGCGAGTCAGAGAGAACAAAATCGTCACTTCCTGATAAACTGGCACTAAATATCACTAAGAAAAGTCAGAGAAGCCACTGAATATAATAATTCTCAAATATAATAAATTACTTGCGCTTTGAGTGAGCAGACGAAACACAATAAACGCGGTCTTGCTTTCGGAGGTGAATGTCAGCTGTTTGGGAATGCAGTCGTGGTAGATTGTTCTGGGAGGCAGTTATACAGAAATACTTTGACGACAGACTTTGCTTGGGCACTTCAGAATGACCATGACAAGATTTCAGTTGCTGTGCATCTAAATCAGTCCGCTGGTTAGTCAGGTTATGCTGTCCCATAGCGCAAAGTCACATGACTTTTTTGAACGCTCATGCGGGATTTATTGGCAAAATGCGTTTCTATATCCCATTATTCGCATTAACCCAAAAGTCAAAAACCACCTCAAGCGAACGTAAAAACCTTTTTGCGGATTAAAGGGATTTATTTTCGAAAATTTTGCGTTTCTCGTGCGATACTTCAAAATGCGAAACGGAAATGAAAACATAGCTACTGTCTATTGCAGTTTTCTTTCTTGTGGTGATTGTATTACTCTTTGAAACAGGAAGCTTGAGCAGGATATATCGAAATGCTCATCCCTAAAACATTCTAGAGCATATTATTGGATAAAAATTGCAGAGTCATCTATAGTTTTTGGTCTGTTGTCCCTGAAGGCTATGTGTGTTAATTACATAATAAAGCTAATAGCCGGCGGACTAAAAGCCAGAAAAATCAACTTTTAGTTTTGTTCCCCTCCCGTCTTGAATGGTTGCATCATTGCTTAAAAGGAAAAATATAATATATACAGTATGCTGTAATTTTTTTAGTTGAGGAACAGATGACTTGTATTTTTGAGCTAAATAACGGGAGCAGAGAAGAGACTAACTCAATTATCCTGTATTATCTTGTATAGTGAAATATAGACCATTAAGTTTGCAATTTCAGTGACATGTTTTTCTGTCACAGAAAATGCTAACGCTTTTGTGAAATTCTTTGCTCAAATTTAAGCATTTTTGCTGTTTTTCTCGTGCTCTTCTTTTCACTTCTTTCTCCCTCTAATTAAACACCATTTCATTTTTCATTTCTCCTTGGATGATAAATCAGGCTATTTTTTATTTTTTATCTAATGAAGCCTTTTTCGAATCTGCTTTACATGCAGTGCAACAGTCTGTGTCTCTTTTTGGAGTCATTTCTGTCTGTTTGTGCCTATATCTATTTTGGAAAAGGCTGACTGCTTTTCTTTTTCTCTTTCGCAAAGACACTTGTTTGACTCTTTCATTTTTGAGATATTAATGCAATATGTTGTTTATGTTATTATTGTTTTTTTTTATACTCTGATTGTTATGCTGTTGAACTCTCTTAGCCACTGTCATGCAAAACAGTTTGTGTGGCGTTGGCAAAATGTAACCGGTTCAATACAAATTACGCTCTATGTACATGCTGTCGATTTTACACAGAAAAGGGGGAATGTGTTGTGGCGGCATAAACTGTAAAATACATACTTACAGAAATTATAGCTACTGTATAAGACATGACACTATCATGATAGAATTGCTTACTAACTTTGTGTAACGTATATATGCCTGTCGATAGAGCTTAACTTGTACACAACCCAGAACATTGCTTCCAAAGGACTGGGCTGGTGGCAAAGTCTGTGTGTGTTGTTGTGTTGTAAATGAAAATGCCTTTATATGTGCGTATGTATCCAGGTGCACTTCAGATTGATCAGAGTGAAGAAACTGATCAGGGTAAATACGAGTGTGTCGCGACCAACAGCGAAGGAACACGCTACTCCGCACCAGCTAACCTTTACGTCAGAGGTACAGCTTTGAGTTACTTAACTGAGTGCTGTAGAATCAGAAAATAAAACCTGTAACTAACACATTCTTATGAATAGATACAGAGAGTCTGTGTAGTCTGGTCTGTCTGATTCTTCTTAGATCATCTGTTCTTAGCTTATGCATTATTTGTTTATTTTTCCTTGTTGGCTCATTTCTCACTGCCGGACTCCTCTGTAGAGTTAAGAGATGGTAAGTGCTCTTCCTCTCAAATCCAACGCTCTGTTTCTTACTCTGATCTAAGTCTCAGACTCTCACATCCACATAATCCTTCCCCTCCACTGGGATTCCGAACTCACTCTCCAGATCCTAATACTGCATGCTGTATGTCATTTGACATTAATCCGCCATTTTTCACCTGATCCTATACCGCATTCCATAACATCATGCTAATTGCAAATGACATCATAATAATGCCGTGCAATCACCTGTCCATCAGAACCAAAAAAATGACAATTTATTGCGTACATTCATCCTAGGTTATGCATTTAAGTTATACAGTGACATTGCAGCACCATCATTTTCTGTATTTTCACAATTTATAAGCAGGGGAAGAGAAGGGTAAAGATTTGTTTCCAGAAAAAAAATCAGATGCAGTCGATGTCAAATGAATTATATAGTATATATAATATATTTCATGGTGTCCTAATGAAATTACAAGAAAGCAGCCATAACATAGAATCATGAAAATGCTTAAATGTTATATAGAAATATAACACTTTACACTAAGGTTCCATTTGTTAACATGAACTAACAATTAAAAATAATTCTATAGCATTTATTATTCTTAGTTATTGTTAATTTCAACCTTTACTGACATTATTAAAATCAAAAGTTTTGTTAGTTATATTACAGTGATACATTTATATATTACATGAAGTTATATTACATTAAATAAATTATATTATTTAACAGTCTTGAGCTAACATGAATTCACAGATTTTTTTCATACAAATATGATTTAGAATACAATTTCAGATAAACAAATAAAATATAAAAATAAATGAGAAAACTAACAAAAATGACTGCTGCTTCCCAGTTTTATTTTGTATAAGCAATTTCATAAAGCAGACTTTAATTTTATATATTTTTTTTACGTTTAAATGACAAACTCAGTATCACTGTCTGGCACACTTTACCCCACAAGTACCATTTTCAGAAAAATTGTCTTTTAATTCTTCATTTCTAATCCTTAGCAATATTTACCTGATTTTGAACTCCAGTAATTCACCAACTTGTATAATATATATTTTTAAACCTGGATAAATTTGCTTTGACATAAAAATGATTTTAGTTGGCATGTAGAATTTGACTCTAGAATAAAAAAACGTGTATCACTTTTCTCATGTGCACCTCTTGGTCACAGGCAGCTGTATTTGATGGGTCCTTTCTAATTATATAGTCACGTCACAAAAATTATGCAAAGTCTGGCACATTAAAAAGGAGACACAGCCACATCTTATCCCACTCTTCTCTACAACACAGATTGATAACCTGCAGCGCACAACATCTTGAGGGTGTATCTTATTAGATGCAATGCTCTCTGTAGCATTAATAATGTCTTTAGCATGAATTAATAAATGGCTCACTGTCTTTCACACCCTCAGTGCGTCGCATCCCTCCTCGCTTCTCAGTGCCACCGATGTGGTCTGCGGTTGTGAGGCTGGTTGGATGTACTGCCAAATTCTCTGAAACGCCTTTGGAGACGGCTTATGGTAGAGAAATGGACATTCAGTTCACGGGCAAGAATTCTGGTGGACATTCCTGCAGTCAGCATGCCAATTGCACGCTCCCTCAAAACTTGCGACTTGCAAATTTTAGAGTAGCCTTTTATTGTGGTCGGCCTAAGGCGCACATGTGCAATAATCATGCTGTCTAATCAGCATCTTGATATGCCACACCTGTGAGTTGGATGGATTATCTCGGCAAAGGAGAAGTGCTCACTAACACAGATTTAGACAGATTTGTGAACAATATTTGAGAGAAATAGGCCTTTTGTGTACATAGAAAAAGTCTTAGATCTTTGAGTTCAGCTCATGAAAAATGGGGGCAAAAACAAAAGTGTTGCATTTATAATTTTGTTCAGTGTATATATAAGTCTGTAATGTCACGTTTGATCAGTTTAATGCACGCTTGCTTAATAAAAGTATAAATGCATGTTACTGACCCCAGATGTTTGAACGATTTTCACTTAAATATGTTTATTATTAAATGTCTATTTAATATTTAAAATCAGTTTCCCCTAATTTATCCATCTCTTCCTTCCTTCCGTAGCCCTTCCCAATCCTCCAGGAGCTCCAGTTGTCATGGAGCGATCTGCCACCAGCATTACTCTAATGTGGGACAGTGGAAATCCACTTCCTGTATCATATTACATCATCCAGTATCGTCCCGCCTCCTCCACCGACCCCTTTAAAGAAATTGATGCCATAGCAACAACTCGTTACAGCGTGGGTGGTCTCAGCCCCTACTCACACTACCATTTCCGGGTTATGGCGGTGAATTCGATCGGCCGCAGCTCACCGAGTCAGACCGTGGAAGCTCGCACGGCCGAACAGGCGCCGAGTTCCCCTCCTCGTCGCGTCAGAGGTCGGATGCTGAGTGGTTCCACGGCGATGATGCAGTGGGAGGAGCCAGAGGAAGCCAACGGTCAGGTGGTTGGTTACAGGGTGTATTACACGTCAGATTCGTCGCTGCCTGTGAGCCAATGGGAGAAGGAAATGGTTCGAGGGGCCAATTTTTTGAACATACAAGACCTGACACCGAACAAAACCTATTATATTAGAGTTCTAGCCTTCACCGCAGTGGGAGATGGACCTCTTTCCAGCGATCTGCACATCATTGCCAAGACAGGAGGTGCGCAGAATGTGAAGTTAGAATTATTTTATAGATTCTAATATTGCAGCCTATTTTGTTTCTGTTGCATCATTCTCTAAGCATCTTCTTTCTTCCTCCTCTCATTTCTAGTCCCATCCCAACCCACAGAGCTGAAGGCAGAGGTGAAATCAGAAACCAGCATTCTTCTGTCGTGGATCCCTCCTGCTCACAGCGGTACAGATGCCATCACTGGCTATGAGCTCATTTACAGGCTTGGAGACCAGCCGGAGCAGGTACACACAGATGCACACATACAAAGCCTTTTCATTTTTGTAGTGCCTGGTTTTATGCTAATTACTTTAACCCTCTATCTTCCAGAAAATATCATTTGATCCCAGCTCCAGTTATCTGCTGAAGAATCTGAAGCCGTTTTCCACTTACATATTTCAACTAGCAGCGCGCAGTAAACACGGCCTAGGGGCGTTCACCAGTGAAATCACAGTTCAGACTCCACAAACACGTATGTACTGTGCAGACTGTAGACAGTTTGGGGTCTTTTGGAAGAAGTTATTATTTTTATTTTTTAAAGGATCAGTTAAATTGATCAAAAGTGGCAGTAAAGACATTTGTGACCCTGGAGCACAAAACCAGTCTTAAGTCGCTGGGGTATATTTTTAGCAATAGCCAAAAAAACATTGTATGGGTCAAAATTATTGTTTTTTCTTTATGCCAAGAATCATTAGAATATTAAGTAAAGATCATGTTCCATGAAGATATTTTGTAAATTTCCTACCATAAATATATCAAAACTTAATTTTTGATTAGTAATATGCATAGCTAAGAACTTCATTTGGACATTTTTAAAGGTGATTTTCTCAGTATTTTTATACTCAATATTTTGCACCCTCAGATTCCAGATATTCAAATAGCTGTATCTCGGTCAAATATTGTAACATATATCATAACAAACCATACATTAATGGAAAGCTTATTTATTCAACTTTCAGATGATGTATAAATCTCAATTTTGAAAAATTGACCTTTATGACTGGTTTTGTGGTCCAGGGTCACAGTTATAATGTTATAAAAGAATGCTGCCCTTTTGAACTTTGTATTAATCAAGAATCCTGAAAAAAAAGCATCACGGTTTCCACAAAAATATTAAGCAACTGTTCTCAATATTGATGATAATAAGAAATGTTTCTGAAGGATCTTGTGACATCAAAAGCTGGAGTATTTCACCTTTGGCGTCACAGGAACAAATTGCATTTTAAAGTATATTAAAATAGTTATTTTAGATTGTAATAATATTTCACAGTATTACTGCTTTTAATTATTGCTTGTTACTGTGAAAGCAATACACTAAACTGAAAACAGCTGTCGGGTTAATGAAAATTCAAGTGAATTTAGTTGATAACTCTCCAGCACTGGTCCACACACTCACATATAACACAAAGCAGTCTGCTTTTGGTAATGTCATCATTCCTGTCTAACAAAGTGATAGATGTAGGTGGATGGGTTAAGTGTAAAGAGCAGGTGGGAGCATGAGACACTCAGTGAAAGGATCTGGAAAGAGGGAGTCAAACAAGTAAGTTTTATGTTAAATGTATTTGTTTTTTTATGTCAGTTCACCATATGTGGACAGTCATTTGGAGTTTGATGTCTTAATTTATTTTACCACAGCATTTTATGTCTATTTCGTCCTTTCATGTGTCTTTTTTTGTTTTGTTTTTCTTCTCTGATTTCATGTCCTTTCCACACATTTACATTCACAACAACACTAAAACTAACCATCGCTGCCTCAACACACGATTAAACCCACCCACTTCTCTAACCACCCAATCAGAGTCCATACCCCCTCCCCAGGAAGTTACATGCGTAAGCCCCTCCTCCACAAGTCTATTGCTCAGCTGGGCTCCACCCCTCACAGATGAAAATGGAAGCATAACAGGATACTCCATCCGATATGTGGCTGTGGAACGGGAGAAAGATCTCATACAAAGGATCTCAGACATCCCATCTACCTGTTTCCGGTACCGGATAGAGGGGCTGAAGAAAGGGACCCTGTACTCAGTAACAGTTGCTGCCTACACTGACACAGGTCAAGGGCCCGAGAGCCTACCAATATTGATCCGCACAGAGGAAGACGGTATGTCTATATGACAGTCTCTTAATTTGACCCTTGACCTGAAGCTAAACCTACCAAAGACACATTTGTCCTCCCAACATTTGCCTTGTCCTGAAACAAGTGAATGCAGTATTCCTGACTTCCCAAGACCCTCTTTGGATTTCCTGCTTTTAAGGATTTTTCCATCTGCATAGATAATTGCTTTTTTGTCACCCTGCTCAGATCCCTTTTTTATGGCAAAAGCTCTTTCCCAACGAATTGAACCCCGACACCACACCTCTTTTCCTCATGTTTCTGTCCTTCTCCTGTGAGCTGGAAGGAATGTTCAGCTGTGACTGCATGTCCTTTACTAAAATGACCCTTTAGTGCCCAGCGCACCGCCACGGGGTGTGGATGTGGTGGTCTTAAACACCACCTCTGCCAGAGTGTCATGGAAACCTCCAGTTGCTGAGCGACAGCATGGAAGGATCCGTGGTTACCAGGTGACATATGCCAGACGAACAGCAGGGGAGAGAACAGTCTCTCCTAGAATTAGGGAACTCCTACTGAGAGACCCACAGGTAGGAGACTTCACCTCACTGACACACACACACAAATACACTTATGATGTCAGTATTTTTGGTACGCTGCAAAAAAAAACAAAAAACGATTGTCCTAAATAACACTTTTTTTTTCCCTCAATTTAAATTTGTTCATTCACTAAATACAAAATGCCTAATCCTGCCAATAAATAAAATCAAGGCAACCACAGATTTCTTGATAAAACTAATTTTCAACACACATTTACATTCACAACAACACTAAAACTAACCATCGCTGCCTCAACACACGATTAAACCCACCCACTTCTCTAACCACCCAATCAGAGTCCATACCCCCTCCCCAGGAAGTTACATGCGTAAGCCCCTCCTCCACAAGTCTATTGCTCAGCTGGGCTCCACCCCTGACAGATGAAAATGCAGGCATAACAGGATACTCCATCAGATATGTGGCAGTGGAACGGGAGAAAGACCCCGTACAGAGGATCTCGGACATCCCATCTAACTGTTTCCGATATCGGATTGAGGGGCTGAAGAAAGGGACCCTGTACTCAGTAACAGTTGCTGCCTACACTGACACAGGTCAAGGGCCCGAGAGCCTACCAATATTGATCCGCACAGAGGAAGACGGTATGTCTATATGACAGTCTCTTAATTTGACCCTTGACCTGAAGCTAAACCTACCAAAGACACATTTGTCCTCCCAACATTTGCCTTGTCCTGAAACAAGTGAATGCAGTATTCCTGACTTCCCAAGACCCTCTTTGGATTTCCTGCTTTTAAGGATTTTTCCATCTGCATAGATAATTGCTTTTTTGTCACCCTGCTCAGATCCCTTTTTTATGGCAAAAGCTCTTTCCCAACGAATTGAACCCCGACACCACACCTCTTTTCCTCATGTTTCTGTCCTTCTCCTGTGAGCTGGAAGGAATGTTCAGCTGTGACTGCATGTCCTTTACTAAAATGACCCTTTAGTGCCCAGCGCACCGCCACGGGGTGTGGATGTGGTGGTCTTAAACGCCACCTCTGCCAGAGTGTCATGGAAACCTCCAGTTGCTGAGCGACAGCATGGAAGGATCCGTGGTTACCAGGTGACATATGCCAGACGAACAGCAGGGGAGAGAACAGTCTCTCCTAGAATTAGGGAACTCCTACTGAGAGACCCACAGGTAGGAGACTTCACCTCACTGACACACACACACAAATACACTTATGATGTCAGTATTTTTGGTACGCTGCAAAAAAAAACAAAAAACGATTGTCCTAAATAACACTATTTTTTTTTCCTCAATTTAAATTTGTTCATTCACTAAATACAAAATGCCTAATCCTGCCAATAAATAAAATCAAGGCAACTACAGATTTCTTGATAAAACTAATTTTCAATTCGTAACAATAAACGAATCTATCATTTTGGTAGCCATATATGTAGTTTTATACCGTAGTACAGTTAATGTATGAAAAGTCTGTTCAGACAACTGTTTGATTAATTGGGACAATATTTGTCCCCTGTTGGTCTAACGTGGGTTTTTATGTAGTTTCATGCAGTTTTCAGGATTTGTGACTCAAAAGATCATGTAAACTTGAAAATATGTATTATATATATTTATGTTTTTTTATGTATTTACAGTGTATTCATGTGTAAAAAAAAATTTAATATATATATATATATGTAAATACATAATTTACTGCTAGTTAATAAGTACAAGGTTTATCCAACTTATTCAGTAAAAACTTGAAAAATGCCAATAAAAATTCACTCCATCGCATAAATAAAACCTGATCAATGTGATTATCAAATGTGATAAATATTTTGATCAAGGACATTTGATAAATATTTTGATCAAGGACATGTGATGAATATTTTCATACAGTTGAAACATAGTTTGAAGATGTTTTTATTTTTCAAGGTCTCAAATAGTGCCACTAACTGAAGAATCACTCACATATATTAGAAATATGATGCAGATCCCATCTATCACTTGATCTGGACGAGTTGTTGTTTGCCAGTAATTAGGCTTCTTAGCTCAGCTAATGCTCTCTAAATGGACTTTAATGTGCCTAAATCATCAGATAACATCAGTATCTGCTTATTATCCGCATGCTAAGACAGAACCTCTGATAACAATCTCAAAAACGAAGAGCCTTAAAACCACCATGTAATTGTTCCAGTGAACCTTTCACACTATTTATTCTCAGTAGACCATTATTCATTGTGTTGTTGCGAATAATCATATTACATCTTGGCATTTACATCAATTTGAACTATTTGTGTCTTGTTTTTGTAAACAGCCACAGAACGACTCGAAACAATATGTGAGTATATCTACTTTGAACATGACCCAGAATTTTAATACGTATATTTACATGAATAAAAGTCTCGGTTATGCCTCCAGGCAGCTATATTTTATCTTGTCAGTAGGCATGTAAGGCTTCTATACTTGAATGGGAAAAATGGAATTTAAAAAATGGAATCTGATAACTTTTCAATAACGTGAATCAAATCAAATCGATAAGATAACAATAATATCAAAAAAGTAGCTTCTATAGATGCTGTACTAAAATAAAACGAACAGTCTCTCTGTCAAAATGTTACTAACTCCTTTAACTGAGAGGTCAGACATCCATATATTGAGCATTGTGATTTCTCCTATTAATTTTGCAACAATTTCTTGTCCTCCTCCTTATTCAGTCTCTGATATGAATACAGACTATGTGGTGCAATAGGACATTCGTTTTTTAATAAGTGTTTTAGTACGGTGTGTTGGTGTTTATTAGGACCTGATTTTGACCGATTTGTGGCCGAACACTGAATACTCTGTGACTGTGGCTGCGTTCAACTCAAAAGGCGATGGAGCACGCAGCAAACCTACTGTCATCAGAACTAAGCCATCATGTGTGTACACACTCCTACATAAATACATGTTAATGATTGGTATACACACTTGTTTTTATCTTTATCTCAATGTTAAAGAGAATGGTCACCCAAAATTGGAAATCATTTACTTACCCTCATATCATTCCAATTCATTTTTGGGTGAACTAATTGTAACCACAAAATCAAGTGTATCACTTAACCCAACACATATCTTAGCTGCAGTGTTACATATTCAGTGTTGATCTACATTATTGTTCTCTACTCCACAGTGCCAGGTATGCCCCTGCTTACAGTCGCACCATTGGAGGATGGTTCTGCTCTACTTAAATGGCAGCCTCCCCCTGCTGGTCTGTCCCCTGTGCTGGGCTACAGGCTCTCATATGGCCAGGCTGACCCGACCTCAGACTCCTTCATGGTGCAGGAGCTAGACGCTGAGAAACGCACCTACACCGTCACGTCTTTGAGCGCAGAGGTGCTGTACGTGTTCCGTCTTGCGGCCCGTACCATATGGGGTTACGGTTCAAGCGCTCAGGTCACACTTTTAACACCAAACGTGGTGCAAACAACTACAGATGACATGGTAACAGCCCCGGGGACAACAGATGCTCAGAATGTGAGCGTACAGGAAACCATTCAATTTTTGGCCAACTTAACGGCTGAAAGCATCAACTCCTCATCTGTGATCCTGAGATGGGAGCCACCAAAAAGCTCCGACCGGATCCAAGGTTACCGCGTGTGGTTCGCTGTCACCTGTAGTAACGGCACAGACATTGCCATGGAATCGGACGTTTCGGAGGCCACAGTGGTTCTAAATGGCTTAAGGCCAAATACTGAGTATGTGGCGAGAGTGTGCGTGCTTAGCAAACACGGCCCTGGGCCCTATAGTCTCCCCATATCCATCAAAACACAACCAGCACAGGAAGGTAGGACTCACGTATATCCTCACACACAAACGTTTACAGTCAGGCAAACCTTACTAAACAAAATCACTTCATTTTCATTACTCTGGAAGGATATTTTCTGTTTCTGTCTGGTCATTTTTCGTCTGTCTTTGTCAGTCTGAGTCTCTTATTCGGTGACATCCTTTAAGTGCAGATAAAAGGTGAGAATCTTTCTGTAGTTGGATCTAGGTGAATGTGGAGTGCTCCATTATCTCATAAGACTACTGTGGTAAAGGTGAGCTCTTGGAAAGGAGTGATGAATTCTTGTCAGCACTGTGAGAAAAAAGTGACTAGCTCTTTTTTCTCCTGTCAGCCTGATAAATGTGGTAAATGTTTTTAGTAGAAACAGCTGAAAAGATTCTTTAATGTTCTTCATAAATGCTTTAGCAATGGCGGAGGCCAGAGGTTCTGCTCAGGTGAGCTGAAGTATTGATGTGTGATGTGTTGATCTGTTGTTTTTCTCTCTGTCTCTCTTTATTAGTGTTTGCCTTGAACTTCAGAGTGAAAGCTGCTATGAAGAGTTCAGTGCTGCTGAGCTGGGAGTCACGAACCACCAGTAATAAAGCACAGTCTCTCATTGTGAGTACTGCAAAATACAATTTGTTGAAAATTTGTTGAAAATCTAAATGTGTGCAAAGGTTAGGGAAGTGGTTCTCAAACGTTTTGACTCCAAAATTGGCCATGGGTTCTCTCTTTTTTTTTTCCTATTGGTTTTTATTAGAGCCCGACCAATACATCGGTTTGCCGATATTATCTGCCGATATGAGCCTGTTGCCGATGTATCGTATCTGCTAATATGCCGCCGATATGAATTTTTTTTACAGAACATATAACGCAGATAAAATGCATGAAATGGTGTAATTACTTAGTTTGTCCAGCAGAGCTCCATTGTCCGCGCTCCATTGTTTGCTACTGGTGACCTGGATGAAACGCTTCTGAAGCTTATGTCTATGGAAAACCATTGAAACTTTGAACGGCCATATCTCCGTAACAGCGTGGCGAATCCGCACCAAATTCGGGGGATCCCCCTCAGCTCGAGGAACCCTCTTGAGTGTATGTCTAGAAGCCTGCTTTCGAATGAGACCACCCCCGCGTCAATAGCCCCCGGGGTTCGGGAGTTACGGGTGGTTAAATTTGCGGTCCGGCGCCGACCAGTCAAGCGATCTCGGGGGGCTACCGACGTGCGGAGGGTGGTGAGATACGCCGGCGCGTTCGCGAGATAGTGACACCAGTCAACACTTTCACTTCAGTAAGGACTTGTTCAGGCAGCAGCATTCAAGCATTGTCTTATTCGACCATAAGTGCCCTGCGAAGTAGACTTCACATGAAATTCCGCCATGATTCCAGTTCCAAGGGAACATACACGTTACATTCAAAGGGCATTAAAGTGCGCGAGACGTGAATTTATATTGTATTTATTTACAGAGGTATTTTATTTCACACTTCTCTAGTAAGTTTGGTCTGTGTGTGAAGACAGTAGCGCAAATCCGTGAATGAATGTTTCGAAGTGAAATAAACTTTAACGGAATAAAGTTGAATGGAATTGAATTGAATTAAAGTTGAATAAACTTCAACTTCACTGTTCAGTGCACTGATGTCAGACTCATTTTGGATAATAAAGTTTATTGTTAAATTGTTAAATGCCCTGCCTCCATTACGTATCTCTGTCACGTCATTATAAGAGTTTGATCACCACATTTGAGTGATCATTGCAAAAAATGTGTTTATGTATATATATTCTGTTTATGTATATACTGTATATAGTACCAGTCAAATGTGTGGACACACGAATGGGAAAGTTTCCAAACTTTTGACTGGTACTGTACTATAATATACACAAAGAATATCGGCCGATATATCGATATCAGCCTTTTTTTTACTCCCTAATATCGGTATTGGTATAGGCCCCAAAAAAACCCGGGTCGGGCTCTAGTTTTTATAATGGAGTTTTTAAATTGTCTGTTTTAAATTGGCAATATTTTACTCTACATCATAAATTACACACACCCACACTGAAAACATGAATTTTAAAGCAGTTATGTTTATTTTTGAAAACATATGTTTGTAATAAGTAATTACAAAGTAAGAACATTTAGGGTGTGAGTATATGCAGTTTACGTTACACAAAAAAGCGTCAGAAGTATCATCAAGTTATGTTTACCACAGACCTTAGTTTACTCATGCATTGGAAACCCCATAGGGAAATATTAAGGGAACTCATGGTGAATTAAACGTCTGGGTTTTAACATAACGGCTGCAGCACTCTATATTCAAGACAATATTCAAAGGCCCCTCATATAGATATGTCTGGTACTTCTGGTGTAACTAGAAACATTTAGATTTAGTGTAGAAATTTTGATGACTTTGTAAGATTTTAATAGTTTCTTTTCCAGGTCTAGAAATCTCACTTTTTAAAATTCCCAGTAACACTTTAGTGTCCTTGTTACATGTTACATGTATTTATTATAGTATTAAAAGTAAATTATGTATAATTATATGCAACAACCCTAAACCAAACCCTAATTCTAACCCTAACTTTATAGTAAGTACATGTTGTTAATTAATATTACTCAGTACTTTAGTCTATAATTACACTGTAACAAGGACACTGTAAAATAAAGTGTAACCAAATTCACTCATATATTTTATAAGACCGTGGATGCCTGGTCTAAAATGTTAGTTGTTGGGGGAATTAATTAAAATAAGAAATCTGATGTTAGTTCACATTTAGAATTTTAAGCTATTTTTTATTTTGAAGCTTGTTTTGTCTTATTTTAAATCCTTTTAAGCAGAGCTGATCCTCCCTATACGCAAAATATGCAAGCTGTGTAGGGCCCCCGAAACACCAGGGGGCCCCCTTGCTCTCAAAGATGATTTAATTTTAGTTTTGTTTTTGAATTACGCCAGCGGTTATGAAAACATGAATTATCATTTCTTTTAATGCGGTGCGCTGTCACCCTTTCTATGTAAAAATCAGTCAAATCATGTAATGTGAATGTCGTACATTCTTGCTCGAGACTAAAAAAATTTGAGACGGAGTGAAACATGGACAAATGCATTTCATTCATTCGTTCATAACCACTCATACCCCCCCCTCCCCCGCCGCCGACACACTTTTGCGTAGGGCCCCCAGAAGTGTAAGATCGGCACTGATTTTAAGCCATTTTGTGACCCCCTTTTAAGTACTCTGAGGCCCTCTAGTAGACCCCGGACCCCTGGTTGAGAAGATGACAGACGATATCATTAGCTCATGTGGGTGTGTGTTGTTCCTCCATCACCACCACTTCATGCAACATATTGAGATGGAATTGTGTATGACAGTGTTTGTATAAACGTGTGAGCGTGTGCATGTTAGCAAGTGTCTGAAGTGTCAGTCTCAATCTGATTCTGCCCTCCTCGAGTGTGTGTATGCCACACGTATCGTCTTGGCTGGTTAAGTATGCATTTTTTGCTTATTTGCTTTTCTGTTTTCTCTTTCTCTGTTAGATCTCATATGGTGATGGTGAGAGTGTGGAGGTGGATGGGCGGCTCGGGCAGAAGTTGGTGACTAAGCTGAAGCCACAGTCTCTCTATACCTTCCTGTTGACCAGTAAAGCTGATGGCACTGGAGGCCTGCAGCACCGCGCAGACGCCATGACGGCTCCAAACCTGCTGACCAGGAAACCCCAGCTGCTGGACAAGACCAGCTCTCAGAGCATCGCTACCCTGCAGCTGCCCACTGTCCAGGGACAGGCTAATGTCAGGTCAGGAAAATACCAATGAAAATAAACTTTTCAAAAAGTTAAAAATAACAGTTTTCTCTTTTAATATATTTTAAGATATTTTAGTATAATTTATCACTGTTATGGCAAAGCAGGATTTTCAGCAGCCGTTACTCCAGTTGTCAGTGACATATTATTTGTAATATTGTCATTATAATATGCTGATTTGGTGCTCAAGAAACATTTATTATTATTATTATCAATGTTGAAAGCAGTTGTGTTTCTTAATATTTTTGTGTAAAAGCAGAATTTTGATGAATAGAAAGTTCGAAAGAACAGCATTTATTTGAAATATAATTTTAATAATGTTGAATTCATTAATGTAGAATGTATTTTTTTGTAATAATGTAGAAGTTTTTACTATCACTTTTTATGAAATGCAGCCTTGCAGAATAAAATATACATAAATGCATACACACACACACACATACACATACACA